AAACTTTCTCTCCTCCCTATTTATAGGAAAAGGGCTTGTTTCCCCGTAGGCTTAGTTCAACATTGCCTAAATCATACCATAAATATCACAGACAGCAAGGAGTGGGGATAGCCCATTAAACGGCATTACCATGTTATTTAGCCAGAGAAGATAAGTTGCATTTTAAAAAAATTATTGTAGAAGTAACACATAGGCACTTTAGAAAATTTAGAAAATGCAGAAATATATTTATTTTAGTTTTGCAATAGGGTGCATATGCTCGCTGGAGAGAGACAGAGACAGAGAGAAAAAGAAGGAAAGTGAGAAATCACCCTGCAGGAGAAATGGCCATGCTACAATCCCTTTTCTTCCATTCTCTCAGGATTTGGGGCGTGCATGCACACACATCTGGAGTGATCTTCAAGCTGCCAGGTCTGAAACTCTAATCACTAGTTGACCATGTGGGATCTAGCCGCCTTAACCTCCTTGCCACCTGCTGGCCCCATAAAAATATTTTTAAAAACCATCTGTGATCCTGGGGTCAGCAGGTGGCATAGTGGTTAGGGCAGCTGGATTCCCAGATGGCTGACTGGAGTTCGAGTCCTGGACCTGGCAGCTTGCTTTCTTGCTTTCCTTCTCTGTGTCTGTCTCTGGTCAACTTAAAAAAAAAAAAAAAAAAGTAAAATAAAATAATGACAATGAATACAATTAAATAAAATAATTCTTAAAAAAAAAAAAACTATGATCCAAATTGCATCCCTGGGACCAGCAGTTAGTGTAATGGCTATGTCACTGGACTCCCATGTAGTCGACCGCGGTTCACATCCTGGACCCGCTGGCTTAAACTCACGCCGGGCGCAAGTGTGTGCGTGTCCAAGATCCCAAGAGGGAAATGGAGAAGGGATTGAGGTGTGGCCATCCCCCCTGGGGGGTGATTTCTTGCTTTCTGTCTCCCTGTCTCTGTCTCTCTGGTGAGTGCACACGCCCTATAGCAAAAACTTCTCCAAAAAAGAAAACAAAACGAAACAAAAAACAAATTACATCCCTGTTGACATAGTACTGTCAACAAGATATTTTCAGTGTTTTACATGCACACATATTTTAGGATATTAAAACCAGAGCATATATACAATTTGCTTCCTATTTTTCATTTACATTATTATTATGTCACACATTTTCTGTGAAAAATACCAATTTTATTGGAATTCATCATATTCTGCACTATGGATCTAGTATAATTCACTTACTTGCTCTCCCAATGATGGAGATTTCGATCTCTACTATAAAAGTATACATAATAAAGATATAACACCACTGGAGATTGAGTCCTGTCCTCCACACAGCTGTCTGCCTTCCAAAGCCACTAACGGAAGTTCTCGATCTCTTCCTGGGAGTGGAGAAGGTGAAGTGGGCTGGGAAATGATTAGCACCCGTGTCCGCCCCATCCTCTCCTCAAGTCAGGTCAAGCAGATAGGTGCCACCTAACTGGCAGGTTCCTAGAATTGCTGCCACTGTCCAGGAAGTCTTAGCCAGCTAGGAAAGCCAGCAGAATCACCACTGATACTTATTTTATTTTTGGAGAGGTTTTTGCCATAGGGCACATGCGCTTGCCAGACAGAGACAGAGAGACAGAAAGCAAGAAATCACCCCCCAGGGGGGATGGCCACGCCGCAATCCCTTCTCCTCCATTCTCCTTTCGGGATCTTGGGCACGCACGCACACACGCCCGGCGTGAGTTTTAAGCCACCAGGTCTGGGATGCGAACTGCGGTCGACTACATGGAAGTCCAGCAATATAGCCATTGTGCGAACTGCTGGTCCCCACCACTGATATTTAAATTGGAGTGGAAAACCCCATGCAGCTAGTGACAAACCACCACCAGCCCAGGAGAGGTTGGTTTAGCATAGCTAGACCTCTGGGACTCCCGGGTAGCAAGCTGAACAGCATCGTGTCAAAGACTCCTTCAGGAAGAGCTACTCACATGTCACAACTCAATTTTTGGATCACAACTATTACATTTGGATACCACTTACTACCTTTTGGCTGGGTTCGACAGAATATGTACTTCAGTAACAGTCTTCCAAAATGGTAATTGTGAATGCCAAGGCTCTGGAAGACACTGTAGAAGACTGAATGGAATTGCCCCACATCTTGTTCTGATCTCAGAAAGCAGTGTAAAGCACAAATGCTTCCAAACAGCACTAAATCAGGGAAGTCTGATTGCTTCTCCTCAAGGAAGAATTCTGATGGAAATTATTCAATTGAAGTCGAAGGGTGTGTGCATGTGTGAGTGTGTATATGTTTTAAAGAGACAAAGACCAGCACACCCAACAGATTCCCTATGCCACAATCTACCCCTCTCTGCTGGCCAGGCTCACGTGTGCTCACAGAACTCCCAGGATATAAATCCAGGAACTTCCCATGTGGGTCCAGATGGTTACCACTGCAGCACCACCTGGTCCCTGCAGAAGCATTTTTTTTATGGAACAGTAAATATAATAAAAAAATCAGAGCATCTTGCCTATTTCAACCTCCATTTCTGGTACTGGATATTTGATATGACATCACAGTTTCACTCGACTGGCGTATGACAGTAAGTGCAGTGCAGTACAGTAAAAGACAGCGGCAGACACAGGCAGTGTTGGGAGCGGAGCCTTCCAGTCTTTCTGACATTTCTTAGTGGATTTGGCTGCTGGAGCAGGTCTCGCAGCAGTGACAGCCTGGGCACCTGGATGAAGAGCAGCCCCACCTGCCAAACACAGAGGGGTGTGGCTGTTGAGGAGGCAGCAACAGAGGGCTTGGCCTTCTAGGAAGGTGCAACTGTGTCCCCTTCCTGAGGTCACACTCTTTACTCTTCCTTCTTTAGCCAAGTCTCTCTTTTACACTTCTGGTGGGGGCAAGCAGATGGCGTGGTGGTTAAAGGCACTGGATTGCCACATGCTGACCGCAGTTCAAGTCCCGGACCTGGTGGCTTGCTTCCTCGCTTTCCCTTGCTCCCTCACTCTCTCTCTCTCTGGTCAAATTAAAAAAATAATGATAATAAATGGAATTTAATAAACAAATATATATATTTTTAAAGAGGCCTTTGGTGAATGCTGGTGGTTGGGTTCTTCAACCCTTGACAGCAAAAGCAGCCTGAATGAGGTGCTGGAACAAGAATGAGAGGCACAAATGCATTATTTCACCGTCACCCAAACACCAAGGGAAAACAGTGGTCAGATTTCTAGATAGGTAAATCGACATAGTATCGGGGTGTTGGAAAAGCCAGGATGCATTTTTGCATAGAGAAACAGGAAAATATGTCCTAACTTTTCCAACAACCCAGTATTCAAGCCCCCAAGGTTAGGCATTGTGTCTAACCTAGCCTCATCTCCCCATGAAACAGTTCTGAATGGAAGCTGGCACCAGCACGGGGGGGAATATGTACCCTGTACATGGATGTTGGATGAGAGATAAACATGTCCTTTTCATTTATTCACCGGAGCATTACTAGGTGCTATGGGGAGGGAATATTGGAAGGCTCAAGAAGCAAAGAAACCATGGCCTTTGCCCTCAATGACGTTCTTGTCTCCAAAGCAGACTGGCGGTCACAGTTCTGTGGACCTCGGTTGTCTGATTCACGCGCACCACTTGAGAACTGAGTTATTTCCCGAGGTCACTTCTGTGACTAGAACTCCTGCATCACACACACCCTCCACCAAACACAGACGTGATGTGAAAGGTTATGGGCAAAATGGCTGGATGATGGACTCATGAACCTCCTGATCCTAAATGCCATTCAAAGCAAGTACAGAGATTGCTATGAACCGAGCTGGAAAGAACAAGGACTTTGGGCAACCCCTTTAAAGAACAGAGGAAGAAGAGGGGCGGACGAACGTGATCCTGCCTCCCCTCTCCTCCCTGGACACTCCAGCTTCTAGCACCCTGTCTCCTGAGTGCCTAGGGCATAGCAGGTATCCGCCCCACGGGAGTGGAGTAATAATACTAACAGACAACACACCTGCCCGCGGGGCAAGTCAGCCTAGTACCCGGCACAGGATGACGACCGCTGGGCCAGTTGGAGGGGCCCCAGGATTTTGGACATAGCAGCTTCCTGAAGCGGGTCAGGTGTTCTCAGCATGAGAAGGGCTGCATTTAGGTGTACATGGAGGAAGGCAGTGAACAGATTTCCAGGGAAGGAAATGGGAACACGGTGATGGGTCCGAAGCAGAGGCTGCAGATTGGACAGGAAGCTCCTGGCCAAACCCAGGCTCTCGCTGTGTAATCCAGTCTCCCGGCGGAGCAGGGTGGGTTGCGAAGGGCAGCCCGGGGTTACCAGGTGGAAGTCTCTCTTTTGCATGACTTGGGGAGTGCGAGAAAGCACCATCCAGCGTCTGCAAGGTCCAACAAAGGGACTGAGAAGCTCGTTCAGGGCCACCTCGGGGGGCGGCGACGACGTGCCGCGGTCCTTTCTCTCGGTGCCAGGGAAGCTCTGCCTCCCGGAGCGCTCCAGGTCGCAGGCTCTCCTGCCTCTCGGCACC